AAAAAAAAAAAAAAAAGAAAAGAAATTTTAAAAGGTAAAATATATATATATATACTTTCTACTGTTTTTATTTTATTTTATTTTTTGAGATGGAGTCTTGCTCTGTTGCCCAGGCTGCAACCTCTGCCTCCCAGGTTCAAGTGATTCTCCTGCCTCAGCCTCCTGAGTAGCTGGGATTACAGGCATGCGCCACCACGCCTGGCTAATTTTTGTATATGTGGTAGAGACGGGGTTTCACCATATTGGTCAGGCTGGTCTTGATCTCCTGACCTCGTGATCTGCCTGCCTCAGCCTCCCAAAGTGCTGGGATTAGAGGCGTGAGCCACCGCACCCAGCCTACTGGGTTTTTCAATAATAAAGATGGGGGTCTCACTATGTTGCCCAGCCTGGTCTTGAAGTCCTGGGACTCAAGGAATCCTCCTACCTTTATCTCCCAAAGTGCTGGGATTACAAGCGTGAGCCATGGATGGTCCTAGCAGAAAGCTTCTCTTTAACTGCCCCTGGTGAGCAAGTGAGCTTTTTTTTTTTTTTTTTTTTTTTTTTTAAGACCGAGTCTTGCTCTGTCACCCAGGCCGGAGTGCAGTGGCGTGATCTCGGCTCACTGCAACCTCTGCCTCCCAGATTCAAGCAATTCCCTTGCCTCAGCCTGCCAAGTAGCTGGGATTACAGGCACAAACCACCAAGCCCAACTGATTTTTGTATTTTTAGTACAGATGGGATTTCACCATTTTGCCCAGGCTGGTCTCAAACTCCTGAACACAGGAGATCCGCTCGCTCTGGCCTCCCAAAGTGCTGAGATTTACAGGCATGAGCCATCTTGCCCAGCAGTGAGCAAGCTATTCTGATACATTACTGTCTCTTTATCTTCCTGTTTTGCAGATGGGAAGACAGAGGCCCATAGTTGCAATTAAGGATGCACTCAGGCACAATCTTGGCTCACTGCAACCTCTGCCCCCACAGGTTCAAGCGATTCTCCTGCCTCAGCCTCCTGAGTAGCTGTGATTACAGGCACCCGCCACCACGCCTGGCTAATTTTTTTGTATTTTTAGTAGAGACAGGGTTTCACTATGTTGACCAGGCTGGTCTTGAACTCCTGACCTCGTGATCCGCATGCCTCAGCCTCACAAAGTGCTGGGATTATAGGAGTAAGCCACTGTGCCCAGACTTCCTGGTCCAATTTTGTCTCCCAGAGAAAAGGGATTGTGGTTTTACTCTTCTCTCTTCATAAGGGATGGCACAGGGCTGGGCACATGTCTGAACTACAGAGAGTGATCTGCAAAGCTGATGTCCCCGCAGACAGCCTTAGCAGAGAGGATGAGAGGGACAAGTGGGTGGCCCAGGGCGATCCTGGAGCTGCCTGCCAACACTGAACTGGGTAGTAGGTGCCCATCCCCAATCCTATGAATCAAGGAAGCCTCCCCAAAGCAGTGCCATTTGGCATCCAGCCTGGGGGGTAGCAGAGAGCTGCTTTTTCATTTGTCTTGGAAGTCATTTCCAGACCCACACAGACCCTGGTTCCTGGGGCAAGAGTTGAGGTCACAAAATGTAAGAGAGTGCCAAAAAGCTCAGCACCTAAAATGAATTATGTCAGGGTTTTTTGTTGATGTTGTTGTTTGAGGCAGAATCTCACTCTGTCCCCCAGACTGGAATGCAGTGGTGCAATCTCAGCTCCCTACAACCTCAACTCCCGGGTTCAAGTGATTCTTGTGCCTCAGCCTCCTGAGTAGCTGGGACTACAGGAGCGTGCCTCATACCATGGTAATTTTTGCATTTTTTGTAGAGACAGGGTCTTGCCATGTTGCCCAGGCTGGTCTCGAACTCCTGACCTCAAGTGATCACCAGCCTCCGTCTCCCAACGTGATGGGATTACAGTCATGAGCCACCACACCTGACCTCAAATTATGTCTTAATTTAACTTCTTAAAATATCAAAATTGTCTGGGCACAATGGCTCACACCTGTAGTCCCAGCACTTTGGGAGGCCTACGTGAGTAGATCACTTGAGCTCAGGTAGTTGAAGACCAGCCTGGGCAACATGGCAAGACCCATCTCTACAAAAAATGTAAACGAATTCGCCGGGACCGAGCATAGTGGCTCACACCTGTAATCCCAGCACTTGGGGAGGCCAAGGTGGGCAGATCACAAGGTCAGGAGATCAAGACCATACTGACTAACACAGTGAAACCCCATTTCTAGTAAATAAATTTAGTAAAATTTATTAAAATTAAATTTTGTAAAAATAGCTACTCAGGAGGCTGAGGCAGGAGAATCGCTTGAACCCAGGAGGCGAAGGTTGCAGTGAGCTGAGATCGCACCACTGCACTCCAGCCTAGGTGACAGAGACTCCATCTCAAAAAAAGAATTAGCTTGGTGTGATGGTATAGTCCCAGCTACCCAGGAGGCTGATGTGGAAGGATTGCTTGAGCCCTGGGAGGTTGAGACTGCAGTGAGCTGTGATCGTGCCACTGCACTCCGGCCTGTGTGACACAGCGAGACCCTATCTCAATAAAATAAGATAAATTACTACCACAAATCCATGGTGAACACACTATCCACATTTTAATGACAGGTTCAGTATTACTGATTTTCCCCTTTCCCTCCAGCTTCAGTACATCTCTGCAAGGCACTGTTGTAAATTCTTATCTTTAAATTCAAATGGCCAGGCACAGTGGCTCACACTGGTAATCCCAGCACTTTGGAAAACTGAGGCAGGAGGATCCCTCGAGGCCAGGTGTTGGAGACCAGCCTGGACAACATAACTAGATGCTGTCTTTACAAAAAACTTTTTAAAAATTACCCTGGCATGGTGGTCCATGCCTATAGTCACAGCTACTTGGGAGGCCGAGGTAGGAGGGTTGACTGCCGTGAGTTGTGATCACGCCACAGCACTTCAGCCTAGGCAACAGGGCAAGAGCCTGTCTTAATAATAAAATTCTGAAAATTCAAAGACTGAGCCGGGCATGGGAGTTCATGCCTGTAATCCCAGCACTTTGGGAGGGAGAGGTGGGTGGATCACTTGAGGTCAGGAGTTTGAGACCAGCCCAGCCAACATGGTGACATTCTGTCCGTACTAAAAATACAAAACTTAGCTGGGCATGGTGGTGGGCACCTGCATTCCCAGCTACTCAGGAGGCTGAGGCAGAAGAATCACTTGAACCTGGGAGGCAGGGGTTGCAGTGAGTAGAAGCCACTGTACTCCAGCCTGGGTGACAGAGCAAGACTCTCAAAAATAAAAAATAAAATAAAAATTCAAAAGCTGATTCAACATTGATTTCTAATATTGATCTACTATAAATCAATAAATGTTTGTAATTTGTAACTCAGATATTTTGCTCATTATAAATTTTTGGATTAACTTCTTTTTTTTGAGACAGGGTCTCACTCTCTTGCCCAGGCAGGAGTGCGGTAGTGATATCATAGCTCATTGCAGCCTTGAACTCCTAGGCCCAT